TTGTACAACTTGTTTTTCTCTTAGCGTGTTGCTGAAGGCTTCTGTGTGGATGGCCCACATGCGCCTGCCTCACTGGCGTGGCGAGTGTGTGGCGAGCGCCTGCTGTGTCACAAGCATTTTTTCCAGGTGCTAGTGGACACAGCAGCGCTCAAACCCACCGACACTCCTGTCGTCGTGGGCCGGTATTCAGTGGGGAAAGAGAGATTGTATACAAGTTAGGTAAAATGCATCTTATAGTGCCTTTAAGCAGAAAAATAAGTAAGTGGGACGTTGAAGTTTTGGGGGTGGAGGGAATGAGTGCAACGTTTAGGGCAGCCAGAGAAAACCTCCCTGAGGTGGCGTCTTGGGTACAGGAGGGAAGGAGGGGAGAGAGCCAGTCTGTGGGCCTGTGGGGGCCGCTTTTGGGGGGAGGGTGGTGGGCGGGAATGGAAGGTGGGAGGTGCCCATGTGTCTGAGGTCAGCAGTCAGGAGGAGCCTGCACTGCACCCTGTCCGACACTGGGGCAGTGGTCAGTTCCTCACTGTCTGCTGTCCAGAGTGAAGCCGCAGGGAACGGTGGTGTGGATGTCTTTTGCGAGTGTGTAGGACTTGTTTCCTCTCAGGTAAATAGCCAGGCTCATGATTATTGGGTTGGGGATAGCGGTAATGCATTTCCAGATCTTTCTCCCAAATCCTTGTTTCCTTTCAGCCTCCTACCACCAGTGCTCGGGTGTCGGCCTCCCCAGTGTTGCTGTGGTAGGAGGTGGTGGTCGGCCACCCTGGTGTGAGGGAATTACTGCTTCATAGGTGAGTCTAGGCTGCCAGGTTTTTCTTTCAGCATTTGCTTCTGAGGAAAAGTCTGTGGTTGTACTTATTTTTCTTTCCCAGTATGTAGCCTTTCTCCGGGGCCTTTCAGAAAGGATTTTCTTTTATCACTGGTTTTGTGATTAGCCTAATAAGGGTTTTTTGACTTCCTCCCTCTCTCCCTTTCTCCTTCACTTACTTTCTTCCCTCTTTCCTTCCTTCCCCTCCCTCCCTTCTCTTTCTCTCTGTCGCTTGCTCGCTGGCTCTCATTGTCTCTTATGCTCTGTCCCCCTCTCTCATCTGTGAGTTTGCTTCAGATTTGGGAAGTCTCAACCGTTGTTTCTTTCCCTGTGATTCAGACAGTCACAGCTCTCCCGGGCAGGGCCCTGTCGGGCCCCGTCTGTCCTCGGGGCTGCGGTTGCATGTGGGAGACCACTCCGCACACTCGCCACTCCGCGTCGTCACCTGGGTTTGCCTGCCTCTAGTCTTTTGTCTTTCTGTGCTCCATTCTGCTCTGTCTTCTATTTCACTTCTTTTTTCCCTGCAGCGTCAAAGACTTTTCGTATTCTAGTTTGTGTAGTTCGAAGTTCCAATGGATTTGTTTTACTCTTTATTTACTGTTTCTTCGAGTCCTTGAGCATAGCTGTCTGTGATAGTTATTTGAGATTCCGTCAGGTCTCTCACTTCAGGGTTCATCAGTTGGTTTTTTCTGTTGGTTGTGGGTCCTGTTTTCCCGTTTGCATATTTCATAATTGCTGGCTGGATTTTGTTATCTGTTAGTGTCAGACCTTGTTTTATCTGCCAGCTGCGGGACTTCAGGTCGGTTAGCTGGGTCCCCTCTAGGCCGTGTTAGGGTGTGTCCAGAGAGGGCTGCAGTGGAAGGCGTGCAGCTCCTGCAAAGGCCGGGCCCTCCATCAGTGCTCCGCCGAGTGGCCCAGCATCTGCCCCTTCTCCTCACTCTGAGGGGGGCACTGAGGGACCCCCGGTCCCCTCTGAGCACTGGGTCGAGAAAACATGCTCCCTTTACCATGCAAAGAACAGTGAGGATAGGATGGGCCCTACCGGCCTGCCGTCCGTCAGCGCACAGCCAGAGGCCCTGACCAGCGTGCATACCTAGCTGTTCTTCAAGGCCTGGAGGAATGTGTCTGGGGTAGAAGTTAACACACTGTTATGGTGTCAGGAATATATGGTAAGACCAAAGAAGGCATTGGCCATTTGCAGAAGAGCTCCGTGACCCTGTGGGATCTAGCCTGTAGGACCAGTGGGGCGTTGCTGACGTACACAGGTGAGGTGGAGGTTGGCCAAGGGGGGCGGAGCATATCTGTGAAGTCCTGAGAAGGGAAAGCGCCGGAGCCAGAGCTACAGGTAGCTCTGCTGGGCTGTGCTCGCTGTGACCCAGTGCCATCACTGGCCCCCCTCCCCCACCGCCTGGGCCACAGTGTCATGTGGTAGCCCAGGCCTGCGCTGTGTGGAGTCTGAGATCGATCCTGGGGACACTGGGAAGGCGCGGAGCAATTTTAGCCCAGAGTGACGGCCACCTCACAGTGTTTGGGATGGTGAGTGTAGCAGCAGAGGTGAGGACACTGGCAGCAGGGACCTGGGGAAGCGCCAAGGGTCCGCGGGGCAGAAGGAGGCAAGGGGCACCTCAGAGAGTTGGTAGCATTCGGGTACGGCCTTTAGAGTCCGAACCTTAACCTGTGCTTGCTGGTTGGAGGGCCTCAGAAAGCGCCTCTGTGTGAGAGGTTTACTCTGGGAGTGCTCTCTCGCACTGGAGATTGAGAGAAGCATGGTCCGTGTGCTCTCTGAAGCTCCATCTAGCCTGGGAGAGCAGAGGCTGGATGGGTGGGTTTGGGCCACATTGTGTCTGGTTTCGTCTGAAATGTTTGGGTTGTTTGGCTTTGTTTTGGAAGCAGCTAAAAGCCAATGAAGGGAGAATTGGGGGCGGTGTTGGAGTACTGGGGGGCTTTCCTCAGGAGACTTGGCGAGCAGCATGCTGTCCTGGGAACACGAGGGAGCCTCGGCTGCAGAACGGGACTATTTCTCTGCTCAGGCAGCTGTGGACGGAGGGTGCCACTGCCCCGTCCCTCACAGGGGTTGTCTGAGTGCGCCTGATAAATCTCGCCCATGCCTCAGGGCTCAGTTCTGTGTCACTTCTGAAGAATGTCTGTCCCCTTCCCCCAGTCTGAGTTGGAACTCTGGACACACAGCCCATGTTGCTGGGGGACAGCACTGAGCGGTGCGCCGTGGTTGCCTTATTTGCTGAGGTTTGTATTCTTGGTGCCCGGTCCCCTCATGTGGACTGGAGAGTATGTCTGCTTGCTTTGCCACTATGTCTCCAGCCACTTCGCAGGCACTCAAAATCCAGTCGGCATTTTCTTATTGAGGTACGGCTGATACACAGTTAGTTTTAGCCAGTGGACAGTTGTTGGCCGAATGGCTGCGAGGAACGTGAAGGTTAACAAGTGCCAGCCGCCTGGTGGTCAGGCTGAATGAAAATGCAGGGGGCGGGGGTGGGGAGGAACAGCACCAGTTTGTCCACGTGTGACCAGGGCGACGGCAAGGTTGTGTGCATTTGGGATGGAGTGCATTTTATGGGCAATAATCCAGTTTGTTTTTATTTCTTTTTAAAGATTTTATTTATTTTTAGGGAGGGAGAAAGAGGGAGAAAAACATCAATGTGTGGTTGCCTCTCATGTGCCCCCAACTGGGAACCTGGCCCACAACCCAGGCATGTGCCCTGACTGGGGATTGAACCGCAGCCCTTTGGTTCCCAGGCTGGCGCTCAGTCCACTGAGCCACGCCAGCTAGGGCTCAAGTTTGGTTTTAGATGCTCGTCCAGGTGGACGTGCACCACTGGCAGTGGGGAGTAGCAGGCTTTTGACTGGAGAGGTCAAGGCGTAAAGGAGGTGTCTGAGAAGTTACAGACCGAGAGGCTGTGGGGATGGATGAGATCTCACAGGGGGGTCATTGAGGGTGGGCTACGAGGCCTCGAGGTGGGGACCTGGCTGGTGGAGACCTGGCCGGTGGCCACAAGGGAGGGGCCACCTGTTGGCTGCAGCCTTACTGATAGCAGTCGATGGGCACACGTTTTGTATGGTAGGTGCAGGTTCCGGCACAAGTAAACCCCTGTTGGTTACAGACTGTTTAATTACAGAACCATAAGCATGTCATTCTGTAGCATAAGAGTATCACACTCCAGCACACCCTAGGACATTTTAGGTGAAACGTTCAAATTAAAACCATACATTGTTACACCCATGTTATTACTCTGCCCACCACACGAGCAGGCGCTCTTCTGCCAGACCCTGCAGATGATGCCCTTTATTCCTACGTAGAGTAAGCTGTGGGAAAGAGTGTTATCAAGGCGGTCACAGAGCGGAGAAAGCACAATGCAGTATTTATTAGAAAGAATAAATGTGTACAAGCAGACCTGTGTAGTTAAGTCCCCGTTTTCAAGCACCAGCCGCACATGTGTGTCCATCGTCTGCCGTCAGCCTGTGGGATGTTGGGCGGGTCTCCTGGACTTGGTCTCTTGACATGTGAGAGCAGGAAGCAGGCCGAGGTCCCGCTTCCACTGAGCAACGCTCCGATTGTGCGCATGGGTTGAGAAGCACGGTGTGTACTTGGGCGCACACTTGGATTTTCAGAATGCGTTTTTTGAGAAGTTAACTTTTCATCCACTATCTGATTTAAGAAACAATAATTGCTACCATATCGCTAGGCCCTATAATGTACCAGGTTGCACTGTTTTACATTCTTTTAAAGCATTTTCTCTGATACAACAACCTGAGACCCACCACTTGGAGGTCAAAGGGTGTGTCCAGGGCAGGTTGAGGACAGACAGGTGCTTGTGTGTGTGCCTGACGTAGCAGATGCTCAGTGTGTGGAGTCGTGTGGAAAGCAGAAGTGCTGTGGGTCTCTGCGGGCCGGAGTGAGAGGCGTGCAGTCAGACAGTCTGCATGTGCATTCGGCCCTCATGGGGGGAGGGAGGGGCCCTGAAGTGGCCTGCGCTGAATGCCGGGTGAGGGTGAGAAGGAGGGCCGGCTGGCCTCGGGCCCCTGCAGCAGCCTTCGGGGCCCTGTCTCTTGATGGGAGTGTGTTTTGATGTTCATAAGTACTACCAAAAATGAATTTGCTCTCATAATATAGAAAAAGATTTTCTTTGGAAGTTTCTCCAGCTGTCTATATAAAAATTGAGTGAGGTGTTTTATATTTTAGGTTGAAACTCTGTAAGATCCTGATTTTAGACTCTACCAGCTCCTTAGAAGTTTGGCGAAATATGGTATGTATCTGTGTTTTTGTTTGTTTCGAATTAAACATTGCCTGTGTATCTTAATGTCATGGTTAGAGTGATGGCAAATGTGTTCAGCAAATTGGGGTGCCTGCCATTTTTAAAGCACGGTGCTAGGCGCTGAGTCACCGTGCCACCAGGTAGCCTGTGCGAGGGGCCCACCTGGGCCTGGGGAAGAATTTAGGGGCAGTCAGTGTGTGGTGAGAAGTAAGTTAATATGCCAAACAAGGTCAAGGAGGCAGGTTGGGCTCTTTGGCAGGGAGTTAAAAATAGCTTCCATTTGCTGAGATCTCACTGTGTGCCCGGCCCTGTTCCGAACCTCCCATCTGTCAGTTTGTCTGTCTTCATGACAGCCCTCTGAAACAGATCCTGCTGCTACCTCAGTGCTTGGCCTTTTGCGGAAAAAGAGGCTCCGAGAGATTAAATGACTTGCCCAAGGTTTCCCATCGAAGGAGTGACCCATCGGGGACCGGCATCCAGACTGGTGCTGGTGCCTGTGTGCAAGCTGGTGGGCGCTGACCTCCTGGAAAGGGGGGGCTGGCAGGGCGGGCTCGACCCCGTCACTTTCCAAGAACATGGGGCTCTTGAATGAATTCATGCACCATGGTTAATCAAAAGTTATTTTGACTTTCTCATTTTTATGTCTGCAGATTGGAAAGTTAGCCTTGTTTGAGCCTTCTGAATCCAAATCCTTTAACATTGCATATAATAAGGGCTTGGTGATGATGAACTCCTTGAACTTGACCTTATCTGAGAAGCACTTTATCTGTCCTTCCATTCTAAATGAAAGCTTTGCTGGATAGAGTAATCTTGGATGGAGGTCTTTGGATTTCATGACTTCCAATACTTCTTTCCAGCCCCTTCTTGCCTGTGAAAGGACAGCAAATTCACAGTTATTAAGAACCACACCTAAAACAAAAGCAAACTAAGAGGACAGCTAGATCAGAAGCGGAACCATAGAAATGAAGATCACGTGGAAGGTTAGCAACAGGGGAGTGGGAGGAGGAGAAGGGGGGAGAAGGTACAGAGAATAAGTAGCATAGACGGTAGGTAGAAAATAGATGGGGGGAGGGCAAGAATAGTATGGGAAATATAGAATCTAAAGAATTTGAGACACGTGGTCATAAACTAAAGGGGGGAATGGTGGGGGAGGGGTGTGCAGGGTGGAGGGAAATAGAACAATTGTAATGGCATAATCAATAAAATATATTTAAAAAAATAAATCCAAACCCATTGTCCATCTTCTTGAGAACCCAAGAGGGAGCATTGTTCATTTCAGGGGGACCATTATTCATTTCAGGGGGAGCATTGCCTCTTCCCCATAGGATTTCAAGAATGTTCTAGGTTCTTATCAGGAGACAGGTAGCTATGAGATGAACATCTGGGAGACTGATTTCCAGGGAGGATTGCGTGTCCCATTTATTGGAGTCCCTACAGTCACCTCTGTGTACCAAGGTCAGTCCTCATCTGGATTCCAAGCCCGAGCTGCGTACAAGCTGCAGAGGTTCGGGCACCAGCCTTGCAAAGGCATTCTCCGAAACCTTGCTGCCTCCGAGTGGGCCTGGGTTCCAAGTGGGGACCACCGCCCACACTTGTCCCTTTGACGGTGTTAACTGCCAAGGGTCCTTTCTCCTCCCTCATTTCCCCATCTTCCTCAGCTGGTGTTTCAGATTTGTCCTGGGTGTGCAGCGGGGTAGAGACATCGTCAGGGGAGGCACGGCTGCTTGGAACACACTCTTGATACTGGATAGCTTGGAGGCGTGTCTGCAGAGCTGCCGTGTGATTGAGATGGGTAAATTCGAGCCAGGGCAGTCAGGGAAGTTCAGCTAAGGCCAAGCAAGGGGACGCGAAGATGCTTAGGTTAGGGAGGGGGAAGTGTTTTCGTAGTCGGCCATTTCTCACGAGACTGTGTTGTCGTGGATTTATGGCTGAGAGAGAGTTGAGCACATTTTCATGTTAGATGATTCCACTGAAGTATTGGAAGTAGGGCTAGGCTTCGGTGCCCTTGTGCGTGTATGTAGGTACATCGCTATTCTGTGAAGCATTTGGCTACCTGGAAAACCGCATGACTGTCAGCCCCATTTAAATAGTGCTACATTCGTGGGGTCCCAGTCCATATTCTCAGTCTCCACTCATCCACACATGTTTAAACGATGCCACTCGGTGTAGCGAAGCCGAACAGACCAGCACACTCTGACCCTCTATGGGAAGTCGATAGATCTGGGCTGAGTCCTAGCATCACCACTGATTCTGAAATCTTGGGCAAGTCAGCTCATCACTCTGAGGTGCTTACTTACCTGGTTTTTGAAATCTTGCTGCAGTGTTTGCCTTGGTCAGCAGTGGGCCTAAGGCCATGAGATGCAAACAAGATGCTGTTGACCAGAAGGCTGTGTAAATGGCGCCACTCTGTAAAAGTGACCGAGATTATAACCACATTTTCTCAGGGGAAGAGATCATTTGAGAAAAGATTCTGGAAGATAATCTGTAAAGAATTTTTGTAACAACTCTTCAGATGAATGTTGCATTGAACCCTCATTCGAAGCTTTGTCAATGACCTTTTGAACAGTGTGTCAGGTTTATGTATTAAACTGTTCTAACCAAAGATTTGTTTAATTTATTAGAGTTGTTAAATCTACGCTCAGACCAAGTTTGCAGCTGGACCGGTGTGACAACCTGTTCTAATCAGTGACTCAGAGCTGTGATCACCCTGATGTCAACGAATGGCCACAGCTTGTAAAAGGTAATTTTTGAATGTTATTTCACATTCTGAAGAGGCGGTCTGTTAAGTGAACTCCATGCTGTAAGCAAGCAGAGGAAATGTATAGTTGGTGGGAACCCTGCTTGGAGCAGAGGCCTAGAGGGTTGATTGGCTTCTCTATTTAGTCTCCCCTCTACACTGTTGCATGCTTCCCTCCGCCCCCCAGACCTGTCTGTGAATGAACGGGAAAACCATTCCCAAAAATTTCAGTAAACGTTTTACTATGAACACTGTAACAACTATGAAAAAGTTTTTAGTATGCATTTTAAAGTGTGCCGTTTGCATGGTGAGGGTTTTAACTGAACGTTTCTGGAGGTTTTGACAAGTGGGTTAAAGTGAGTGTGCGTCTCCCTCCTGGAGAGCTGGCGTGGAGGGCTGAGCCTCCCTCCGACTCTGGGGCTCCCGCTGCAACGCACGGCGGGGGTCTCTGGGGCCCACGCTCTGCCGTCGGAGCCGAGGCCTAACACTGAGACCTGCCCGGCTTTCTTTTCTAATGGCACTTGAGATTGGTTAATTTTAAAATTTTGTCTCTGATTTGTGATTCTGACAAACTGTGTGTTGACCTGAGTCCGTGGTTTGTTTTTCCTGGGATCATCTCTCCTGAATCTGGTGAAATTACCAGCACATGGTAGATCTTTACTTCCAAAAACCTGGCAGGAGAGCATAAAGTCTCCTAACTGTGAGATGCTTCACCGATTTGAGAGCTGGGAATCCCAGCTTTGGGCTGTTTAGAATGCTAGAATGCTCCATACGCTGTGAGTGAAATGACTAGAGACTGGTTCAGCTGTGTTCTGTTCTGCCTCCTCTGCGAGAAACTTTCTCCTTGTTCCGTGGATGTTCACTTTTCACTCAAGTGAACGACAATGTCCATTTTGAGTAAAAACAACTGTGTTAACCACGTGTATTCGACCTAGAATAGATCTGTTTCAGGATATTAATCTTTCAACTTTTTATTTTTATTTTTACACTGAATTGGTTTAAATTACTTGCTCTAACCTGGTAACAGTCCATGATCATCCAGCGTGTTTACAAGGGTTGTAGGAGTTTCGATGCCAGTGCTTCACGGTCCCCCGTGCAGGCCCCGGAGCTGGGCAGGGGCCTGTAGTTACTGCTGTGTGACGCGCTGGCCTCTGTCCCGCTGCAGAAGCCCAGCTTGGCGGCACTTGCGCCCTGTGCTTCTAAGACTCATAGTTGCTCATTTCTTGCTTGTATCTTGACCTTGTTGCAGGAGTGTTTTAATTTTCCTGTCCTCATTCCCCCCGTTCCTCTTCCCTTGTTAATTCTGAAAGTTTTGCCGCTTATGTGTTTGAAAGCTTCTAATCTGCCTCTCTTCCCTTAGTGCCAGCAGGGTTATTTTTTGTTTTGCCCGCCTGCCCTGCCTGCTCTTGCAGTACGACAGCTGATGGCTGGAGGGTCGTGCTGTCAAACATGAGTCAGCCAGCACATGGGGTTGCCCTCAGGTTTAGCTCTCCTGAGCTGAACCTCCGAGAGGCGCAGGTGTGGAAGCGGTCTGGGTTCTCACCCACGAGCAGGTGGGGCGGGTGTATCTCGAAGGTGATTTGCTTGCTCCCTGGGGGAGAGGGCAGAGTGAAATTTTTACATTTGTGTCACTGCCGTGTCACTGCCATCTCCAGCAGGCCTGGTCCTTAGTCCTGATGTAATTCTGTGTGAGACTGAAAATGTCGATGCGCCGCAGAGAAGATCCAGAGTCAGGACTTCAGCTGCTGGAGCACATCCCCCCACCCCCCGCTTTTTCCCTGGACTCTGGCCTGCAGTGAGGGGTGATTTTGAAAGTCTGGCAAACAGTTGAGGTTTTGAACGATAAGAAATGTGCAAAATACTTTTTTTCTTTTGCTGGTGGCTCCGTTGAAAAATTTGCAGATTCTTCTGTTGAAATTGTTCAAAATTTGGTGTCTCGAGTCTGAGAAATTTACAGGTCACGTTTTTGTAATGTCACTGTGAACATTTTAACTTGTGACCTTTAAAAGATACTTTATGCACTTCAGACAGTTGAGAGTGTTTACACGTCAGCATATTCTGTAGGTTCACCACCGCACTGTGCACTGACGGACGCTGTTTATAAACGTGAGTAAGGTAACAGGACTTGATTTCTTCAGTGGCGTTAGAGAGATAGGCCAGATTGGGTCATGACCAAAATGAAAGAAAAGGCTTTTACTGTCGTAGGATTCTGACCATTTCTACCTGAGATCGCAGCAGAATGTCAAAGAGCAGCAGAAAATAACTGGCGACTGTTGGTCTCTGATGCTGATGCCCAGTTGTCCACAGCGGACTTCCAGCGCCCTGGACGGCACACGTCCTGCACGTGTGTCCAGGGCCAGCTCACTTCCTGGCCAAACCACGTCAGTCAGGGTCAGGCTGCAAGTCTGACTCAGGTGTCTCAAAAGTTACCGAGGCTATGAGGGTTCGATTGGATTTAGCTAGAGCAGAGGAAGGCAGGCTTTTTCTGCAAAGGCCCAGGTAATAAATATTTCAGGCCTGTGTGCCCGACGCGTCTGCCTGAGTTGCTCCGCCCAGCTGGTGCCTGCAGGGCTGGATCATTCGTGTGGCATGCAGGCAGCGGCCCGCTGAGGCTGATGCAGAGTTCGGGGCTGTGGGCACCCGCCAACACCTTGGATGTTGTAGTTAACCAACACTTGGTTGTAGAAAGTTTTATAGTCGTCTCTTTTTATTATAAATATTTGACTTTGTGAATAATTATACTGGTTTGTATGTTGGTATCTAAATATAGTGCTTACAGTTTTCTTTCCTTAACAAAAAAATGCACTGAGGTTTTTATTGGTCCAGCACTTCCAAATCCATGGGCTGCGTGGCAGTCTGGTCTGACTGCTTCTTCTCACATGACTTTTAAAACTGTTAGGGATGAACTCTTGTTTTCAAATGTGTCTTCCCAGATGACCTCTGCCCCTGTTTTGGAGTGTGGAATATTTTACTTACCTTTGCTCAATTGCCTTTTGCAGATCACCAGGAGAACCTCAGTCTGACGACATTGAATCTAGCCGAATGTAAGTGTGACTGGGTCGGGGCTCCGGTGTATTTCAAGTTGCCCTAGATTCCTTTAAATGGTGCCACATTATTTGGCAGTAATTCTCAGTTAAAAGAGAGTAATGCCTTAAAAAATAAGTCGGGGGATAGAACTATTATCTTCTCTTTTTCCTGCCAAATAAGTACCTCTAAGCCCTGGTAGCACATCATAGATTTCTCCTCAGCAGACAATGGCACACTCCTGGATTCTTGCGTCTTTTTGCTCACCTAGCAGTGGTGGGAGAGATTTGAGTGTAACAGTTATCTGTGAAGTGTGTTGTGGGTACAGAGATGCACCAGAATTTGTTCCTGACCTGCAGACACTTCCAGTCTGCCCAGTGGGACAGGCACAGAAGCTGCTCATCTAGGTCCTTGTGGTAGAAGGATGCAAAGGCGCAGGGGGGACATAAAGGAGGACCAGGGTGCAGGGGAGGTGGGGTGGCCAGGGAAGGCCGAGTTCAACGAGATGTGTGACTGGGGGCCGGGCCACTGGAAGTGAGGGCTGCGCTGCTCTAGGCAGAAGCCTGAGCAGAGTTCTGAAGCATCATGGTAAGTCTTGGGAGGCAGCTGAGGGTTTGGGATCAGAGACTGACTGAAAGGCTGGAAGTGAAGGAGCTGTGACCGGGCAGAAAGGATAGGGGCCTCGTGTCCTCTGTGTGGAGCCTGGCCTGTGTCTTAGAGTCTTCAGGAGTCAGGAGAGGGTTTGCAGCTGCGTGTCTGGTTAGGCACGTGTCTGTAGTCACGTTGGCAGCGGGGGAACAGGATTGCCGGGGCACATGTGCCATTGGAAGCCTGGGGCCTTGGCTCTTCGGTCCCAAGAGCTTTCTTTGCCCAGGGACGAGGCGGAGTGGCACTTGACAATAAGGCTGTCTGGGTGTAAGAAGAATATTCAGGAAATGAAGTAGGTAAGACTTCAGTGGTTAGTTGTGAGAATTTAAGAAGCTTAAGCTCCAAGGAGAGGCGGCTAGTGAAGGGTTTCAAGGCAGGAGAGGTTGGGGTTGAGGAGCACAGGAGCAGGGCTGCTCGTGAAGAACAAAGACCCCTGACCTGTGAAACCAGGAGATGAGGACATCAGATGTGCTGGTAGGTGAGGATGGGGGTGGGGGTCTTCTCAGTGGAGGGGGCCAGAGCTGCCGTACCGCTGGTTCTGTCCCGTGGAGATTACACCCGGTGCTGCTTGTAAAGGGGGTTTGGTGGCTGAGTGGGGTGGGGCCCGTGGCAGGGTTCTTTCCCCAGAGTAGTGGAAATCTTTAAAATGCTGCTGTACACGAGAATTTCCAAGAAGGGATTCAAAATGCATTTCTAAAGTGTGTGTGTCTGTGTAACCTTTTGTTTTTACGTTTTTTTGGGGAGACGCACATAAAATGTACCACCTTGGTCACTTTCGAGTGCACGCTTCAGCCACGTGAGGCCCAGCACGTGGCCGTGCAGCTGCAGCGGCTCCCGCGCAGCTCCCGTCTCTCACACCGAAACCGCCCCTTCCTCTCTCCCCGCCTGGTCACCCCTCTCGCCAGCCCCCCGCGGCCACCAAGGTCCTCCCCACCTCTGGTTTTGACTTCCACTTCGTAGAAGTGAAATCCTACAGTATTTGGCTTATGTCACTTAACCTGTCGTCCCTCAGGTTCATTCACGCCACAGCCTGGGTCAGAGTTCCCTTCCTTTTTAGGGCCGAGTAACCCACTATTGGGTGTGTGTTGCACTTGGGCTCATCCATTCATCCTGATACTTGGGCTGCTTGGGCTGCTTCCGTGTCTCAGCTGTTCTGAATGATGTCGCCACGGCCGTGGGTGTGCGCATAGCTCTTAAGAGACTCTGCTTTCAGTTCTCCGAGTGTAAGCTCCAAAGTACGACTGCCGGGTCCTAGGTCAACTGTGTGTTTCACTTTTTGAAGAACCTGCTGTATCCCACGGCGGCCGCCCCGTGTTGTTCCTGCCCACCGCACACAGGGTCATTTCCTCACGTCCTCATCAGCCCTGTGATCACCTGGTTTTTCTCTTAGAGTAGCCATCCTAACAGGGGCAAGGTGAGTTCTTAGTTTTGTAGGCATGTTTCCATAGTGTGTCTGGTTTGGGGAGTCAAGAAGACTGGAAACTTGGAAAGCCAATGGGTAGAGCAGGTCAGGAAGGGAGCCAACTAGTTGGAGAGGCTGCGCCACTGAGAGGCCGGCTGCAGTCAGAGACCCTGCCCGTACGGGAAGGTGCAGTGTGGGCCAGGCCGGGGACCAGCAGAGCAGGCGGGACGGGCCACACTGGCGGTGGTCACCCTGGGAAAGGCGGGGGCAGCTGCAAAAGCCCGAGGGGTCAGAGGGCTGGCGACTCAGCATGAGCGAGGCTTTCATAAGGACGCGTGACAAAAGTCAGAGGTGGCATGTTTATTATGCCAAAAGTCTCGGTCAGCTGAAATTGAGAGGAGGTGCAGGGCCCTCAAGAAAGTCAAATGTTTTGGGGGCTCCTTTTAGATGAGGTCACCATGCCTATGATGTCACGGGGGGCAAAACAGAGCCTTTAGGGTATGGGGATAACTTACCAGAACATTGAAGGAAGGAGGAAGGCATTCAGATAGGTGATGCGAGTTTCAAAGTACAAGTCGAGCTGCTGCTGTTTGCGGGGATGGGCTGTGTGTGTGTGGGTCATGCAGGGCAGTAGAGGAACGATGGTGGGCTGGCCAGTTTCAGTTGTCCGTGAGACCCCTACGAGAGAGCTGCATGGAAAGCCAAGCCTCGCGGGGAGCCAGGCTTCTTCGAAAGCTGAGAGGCCCAGCAACCCTCCTGTGAAGCAGGTGGAGGTGGGGGCAGCCTGCATCAGAGGTGTGTCTCTAGACCTCTCGGTGCATCGTCGGCTCAGGAGGCTGAGTCAGGAGTGAAGGACAGAGACGCCCAGAAGATCCAAGGCCATTGTTAAGATCCAAGGGCGGCCGGAATGTCAAGTGTGATGGGATGTGGGCTACTAATTTTCATAGGAGGTGTGGGTTTTAAGTGTCGGTGGAGTTAGCCTGCTGTCACATGGCTTCACTTCGTCAGGCTAAGGCCTGGGGACAGGAAATGAGATCTGCCGAGGTAGGTTGTCTGCACCCAGGCAGGTGTCTGCCCTTCTGGCCGTGACCGTGGTGGGAGGACAGCTCCTGGAGCTCACGTCTGCCGCCTGTCTAGCAGACCCCTGGACCTGTGGAGGCCAGGGTGCAGGTGGTGAGGTGACTCAGTCCAGGTTTGTTCTGCCATTGTCTTTGAAAGCCCTGATTTACCAAACAGGCCGTGAAGAGTCTTTGGTGTTACCTGAGAGTTCATGAGGGTGTTTGATGGATGGTGACCTCTTACATTTATTGAAGCATGATATTTTGTTTTTGGTGTTTTGAGACACGTTTGTATTTGGCATCTTTTACAAAAACACCTTGTGTGCATTTTAAATAGTAATTCTATAAAATAAAAGAATGTACCTGTTTGTTTTTAGGAATTCTTTGTGTTGCCCGTTTCCCAAGGTGCGGAAAAACAGTGAACATTTTTAACAGCTGCATGTCATTTAGCCTAAAAATAGAACTAACACAGTAATGCAGATCTTTGTACTCAGAGTTATCTATGTTCTTCCTGGATTTTAAATTTATATGTACCATGTAGTAGAGTCTCCTTGAACATAGTAATTTAGACTCTTCAATTTTCTTAATGATTTCAAAGTAATGTCTAGGAACTCCGTATTTCCCATCTCTGGTAGTTACTCCCTGTGCTCAGGCCGTGGGGTCCGCTGCACAACCGAGACAGCGAGTGGACAGAGCCGGCGGCAGTGTGCTGGCCGATTTCCGGGGCAGCACTCGGCGGGCTGCGTGGGGGGCCCTTCGCTGCCCTGCAGGGCGGCGCCTCCTGCGCCTGTGTGCTCCCTCGGGGTGAGAGCTGCAGCCTGCGTGCTTCTGTCTCCACTCTGGCTGACCCCTGGTTAGACGGCCATGGCCAGCCACTGGATGTCCGATTCCCTGAGTCTTGCTGACTCTGCCCTCAGAATGTCGACAGTTCAGCGACTTTACCCACTACTGTCACCCGTGGATGCTCCTGAAAGCCATCGTCTTCTGCCGAACGAAGGGGTTGTGCCCCAGCTGTCCTGCTGCATCCCAGTCCCTCCCAGTGTGTTCCCTGCAGCTGAGCGCTGCTGTGGGCCACCCTTTCCGGGACCTCCCTGTCCTCACAGGGCAGTCCGTGCATGCCCTTCTCGCTCCCCTCTCCTGCTCAGTGCTGTCTACATTAGCTCACTGCTCTTGTCCTGATGTCTCCATGTTCCTGGCACTTGTGCCTGTGGTCTGCGACCCTTCCATGACACCCACGGGGCTTTCTCACTCACTCCAGAGGTCCCTGCTCAGTTGGTATCTTTTCCGAGAGGGCTTCGTGATCAGGCTTCGTCTGCGAGTGCCCATGGTCTCTCTTCTCTGTTCCCCTGACCTTTGGATTGGCCTTCGTGGACTCTCCTGTGCTGCACTTGTTTCACGTTGGCTTCCTTAGTGTCCGGCTCATTTAATACTAGCCCGGGAGCCTGATGCGAGTGCCTGGCATGGCCTGGTGCTTGTTATGGGAAAAAATCAAAGAGTGAATTTATGCAAAATGTTTGTTTCTGCCTCTTTAATTTCCTTTCAGAAAAGCAGGAACTTTCTGGAGTCAGTTTGTATGTAGATGCGCCGATGTCGGTGGACACAGCCCAGGGCACGTGGATGACACCCGGCTCCTCACCAGCATCCCGGACGGCAGGCCAGGCCGCTGCGCTCAGCACCCTGCACGCTGCGTGGCAGGGCGCCACCTGGCCTTGCCGTCCCAGCGGGCCCTGGGGGATGGCTGTGTCCTCCGACCCAGATGGTAGGGAGGTGGTGTCACCCTCAGACTCCTCTGGCTCTGGTGCTTTCTGTTTTGGAAAGTTGTTACTCAATTTTTAAAAGCAGATAGGGGCCTGTTCACGACCTTCCCAAGAGCTTTGGCGGGTCGCGTCCCTGAAGGAATTGGTCCGTTGCA